TGTAAAATAAAATAAATAAAAAATAAAATGAAGTCGCTTCCCGTTCTTGATGCCCGATTGTTTCCAAAGTATTTTATTGATCCCACTAAATCTCGTTATTTTAGTTATTAATACCAAAAAAATAATAAAGGAAATAGGTGGGTTTTTTTTTTCTATGTACCAACATAGAACAAAAAATAGTATGCAACTGTTTGGCTTGGCCTATTTATGTAGAGATTAAAAATTATTAGGGGGCACAACTTTTAATCCACATCCAACATCAACAGCCTTTAATAGTCCACTTCTGGATTTATGCTTCTTCTTAGTAAGGTAGTTTTGGCTTACTACTTTTAATTATATTGTTGTAAATACACCAATTTGATTTCAATTTTATTTTCATTAACATTACGTAACAAATTTGAATGAGCCAATGGACGCGCTTTTAGAACTTCACCGACGATAAGATTTAAATCGGAAGTCTTCTCAGATTTAAGACTTAAGTTGTACTCCCCTGTTATATTTGAAAAGCGATTCCTATTGATGTCTCCAGAATTTCTTGGAAATGTATTAAACTGTTAAAACTTTCTGGTCCCCACTGTCAGTACAGAAACTTTATTCTCCAGTATTGGTTTTTACAATACGTAAATTGGTATTACTAGTTTTTGATTAAATTTACATTTAGAAATTTTCGACGTTTATCTAGCCTATTCAACCGTTTGAAGATTAATTTGCGTACTCTTAATAGACTAACCAGAATTTTAAGAGCAAAAACGCTCATAATATTTACGCTCATAATTCGTTTGTGCGTAAATAAATTTGGTATTTGAAATAAAAAGCAAAATATAAATTAAAGTCTACGCCTTATTTAATTTTAATTTAAATGGGATTACGGCAGAAGCTCAAAAATACTTATTTGTGTAGGCATTTTATTTATAAATCTTATTGCGAGATTGATTGAGTATTGTATTTAATGTTTACATTTTAAATGCTAATTAATTAGCTAGTTTTTTTGCTATCTGAACAGTAGCAGACAGCAAAAACGCATGGATCACCAGTTTTAAACAAAAAATATATAAAAATTAGCAACAGATACATTACCATTCTTTCTTTTCTCTGAGTAACTCTTTAAAACACGAAAACTCAAATTGTAAGTAAGTACCTGACACCGACTCGGAAAGATTTTTTATCTCGTGACACTCCTTGACCCTGAAATACCTTGAGCATACATGGAATACGCATGAGCGTAAAACAGTTTAATAAATATGGATACAAATGCAAATGATTTTGAAATGTTAGTAATTATGAGTGTTTTCTAGCCGGTTAATTAAACCAGAAATACCGCTACGTTGCATAATATTTAAACAGTTGCATAGTACTTGTCAAACAAACATGCTGTTACCTCAGCCTATGCTTGTCCACTGCTGGACATAGGCCTCTCCTAATGATTGATTAACACACTGAATGCTTGTTTATGCAGTACTAATGATACCATTCATGAGTAGCCTCAAACAGAACTTAGACGATTTAATACACCAACAGAAACAGGTATAACACTCCACTATGCAAGTACGTTTTCTAGTATCTATTTATGGTATGTTTTTGCCCAATAAGTTTTCCATGGTTAAAACAACTCATTAAAAAGGCATCATGAAATTTAGTAAACTATGATAAAAATCTGTACAAACCTATATTTGTAACTATTGTCTAGTTGTATATCAGTTTTAAATGTTGTCACATATTAAAAGTATGAACTCATCATTCATTATTTCATATAAGTATCAAAAGAATTGGCTAAAAATGAAGTACTTTAAACAATAATAATTAGTAGGTGTGCAGATCTGTACACAGGCCGTTCCTAGAACAGACTCATAGTTTCTCGTATAGGTCTTACTGAATATATTTATTTAAGAGTACAATATATAGTCACATCATTATTGTGGAGAAAACACATACGCAAATTCCTTGTTCAGAACTCGGTGTCGGTGGTAAATTGTCGGCAGTCTATACAAGTAAACACATTGCTTCATTACATCATCCAATATTCGCCAGGACTTCTAATTATCGTTGTCGGACGCCAGGACGTCCTCGCGGTGGTCGAAATCAGACACCGTAGAGGACACAATGAATCAAGTTTTTGGGTATATCCATACAAACTTGCACCCCTTTTTAAGAGTGGTTTTGAAAAATTAGAAACAACGTTTTTTTTCGCTTTAATAAAAAATATTTACGATAAGTTTGAAAACGCTACTACCAAAAATGACGAAGTTTTATATAAGGCCTAAGGAAGATTTGTACAAAATTTCAGCGGTTTCAGCTATGCGTTGATCAATCAGTCAGTAAATCATTCTATCAGGTTCTTCTTTTATAAATTTATTTATATATTCTTGTATCTCAGTCCATAATTATACCTGTAAAAAACATAATCCTTTTTTTATTTTACTTTTTTCATTATGGTATAATAATTATGTAGAATTATTTTTATTTTATTTTTTTAAATCAAGGATTTTTTAAACAATCCTATGAAATAAATATTGAGTTTGATTTTGAATAAAAACTGCAGAGGAATTCCCGGTGTGGTCAACATGAAAACAGTCCATACTAAATTATGTACCCGATTTTACAAACTCGCTTCCGTAGCAAATTGGGAGAGTGAACAAAACAACTGTGGCGGACGTAGACTCTGGTTTTAAAACGGTAAAGTGAATCCGGGTTTTTTGTAAATAATTACTGAGTTTGTTTTGTTTTTTGTAGGGTTAAAGAGGACCCTTAGAATCACTTCGTAGTCGTCTGTCTATTTGTCAACGGTCCTTTTTTGTTTTAAGAAAACGTCAAGATATAGATCATAAGTCAGTGTCAACTAAGTTCTAAGATGCCGAAACAGAAAGTAAAGTAAAGTATTTTATTACTCACCAGTATATGGAATGTAATTTAATAATATTATGATTCTTTTTAATGGCACCTGACAAGGAATAGGTTAAAAACGAATGAAGAGAACTGATTTTTTTTAAATAAATTAAAAAAAATTTAAAAACAAAACTAACTAGTTCTTTTTAACTCTACGGTGTCTGATTTCGACCACCGCGAGGACGTCCTGGCGTCCGACAACGATAATTAGAAGTCCTGGCGAATATTGGATGATGTAATGAAGCAATGTGTTTACTTGTATAGACTGCCGACAATTTACCACCGACACCGAGTTCTGAACAAGGAACAGACAGGTCACCTGATGGAAAGTGACTACCGCCGCCCATTAACGGCTGCAACTCATTAGTCACAAGCGCGTTGCAGGCCTTGTAGTGCTTGTAGTACACTCTTTTTGTAAAGGTTTCGTATCGTATCCTTTGTATCGGTCCGGAAATACCGCAAACGATAACTTGTTCTACAGATTATTTGTGCGAGGCAAAAAAGTCTTGAAGACCACACAGTGGTGGAGTGGAGTTTATTTAACAAGGCAATTTTCTGGCAAAAGCCAGACTAAAACTATAAGTCTGTCTGTTTGTTTATTAGTTCAAATGCATTGATTTCAAAAGTATTGAAATTCCGGTCATTACATTCAGCTGTTCATAATTATCTATTATAACAACCACCGCTTCAACACCCGTAACTTATCTATACAATATCATTTTACACATTAATGAGATACCAGAAGAATTTGAAATGTGCGTTGTTACTGAACAACACACATTTTAAATTCTACTAGAATTGTATAGTTATGTTCAATTGACCAGAGAATCAGGGCACTCCATTTTAGAAAGCATTATACGCTCAATTGCGCCGAGCCGAGATTCCTCTAGGTCGGACAAAGAAAACTTGAGTACAAATTGATTGTGCTTTTCTTTCACTAAAGCCTTTCTAAGAGCTGGAATCAAAGGAATCAGAAATCGTGAAGAGCTTTGAAACAACTGACTGGTGACTGGAATTAAGGCTGGAAAAAAAAAGAGAGAGGAAATACAGAAAAACTTTATTCTTTATACAACAACTGTCTCGTTAGTTTTTTTTTTTTTTTTTATCTGTTGTTGATTAGGGGTTTTTGTCTATGTGGACATGTCAACCCCATTGTATCTTCTACATGTATACTTTACAATTTACGCGTCACTATGAAAACATTGAACCGCTAATACACAGCTGTTTTGCAGTCTCAGATATTGGTAGTGATAGAATAGTCTGCGCAATTCCTACATCAATCTGGTTTAGATTCAATGTTTCCATCAGTGCTTTTCTTTCTCTTCGGTTTTCTCGTTAGTTTATATGACGCTATATTTTCGCCATTTGTAAACCGATTACAATGTTTTCTTTTTTTTTTAATCACATTGGCTGTACTCACGTTTGGGGTCTCATTTAAATTTTAAGAAAATATTCTATGGTTTATAAATATTTTAAATTCTGCTTTTACTACTACTACTAGCTCAACCCGTAAGTCGGTTATCGCGGTAAAAAATAGCCTATGTTACTCTGTGATAATGTAGCTTTCCATATTTGAAACCGAATCGGCTTACGAACCGTGAGCCGGTTTAGGCGTTAAAGCGTAACAATCAAACAAACTCACTTTCGGATTTATAATATGGATTTAAGGGATAAATCTAATTATAATTTATCATGTTTTATGCGCATTTAAGTCGATATTTTTTATTATTATTACATTATCACCCATATGTCTGCATTACTTACCTACTTCCTTCGCTGGCTCAGCGGCCCAAAATGTATTTTTGTCTTGGCCTGCGACATTAAAATGCGCTATTCTTTTCTATTCTGTGCCAGTTCAAACCAATCGGGCACTTTGATCTCTTCATATATAGGTGATTTGGCAAATTAAAAAGATTCAGCGCAACACGATTTAAATTTTGTTAGTTTAAAACCATTTTTTTTTCAATACTTATTATCAAATATCTGCTATTTAAAAAAATAATTAACTTACTAGTTTCTTTTTTAAAAAGAGAGAGAGCTTACTTATTAAATGTTGATATCAGACAGCCTACAAGATGTTTGTCGAACTTTCTTGGGGTATATATCATATGACTCACCTTAGACCTTCCTCGAACTCTTTTCCCGTTGTTGAGTCTCAGCCACGCATCCCATCGGTGTCTGTACACTGAGATGGTGTTCCAATGACCAAGCCGCACTGGTTCTGGTGACCGCAGAATGCCGGCACCACTGCCACAATCATACCTAAACATATAAAAAAAGTATATTTAAAATTTGAAAACATTAAGTTAAGGGGTAAAAGATGAAAATGTAACAGTAATTCAGAAGGACGTAATAATTAAAAAAAAAAATGTCTTGAATTGAATTTACAACGCAAAAATATACATTTGGTATCATATACCTAAATATACTCGTATATGTGGAAAATTAAAAAATATAAAGTACATTTCAAAAGAGAAAGATTAAGTAACAGAAATTAAATTCTGGTTGCGCCGTTAGATGTAGAAGCACATACATATTTAGTACACCTTTCTTTCAATATTCAGATGCTTGTAATTTTCCTGATTGTGAAGGTATTTTTGTATATTTCTGTAATTATATCTTTAGTCCAAACACAACTGTTGAAGACTCATAAACGCAGAACCATTAACGTTTTTTTAATACAACCCTCACTAAAATTGTTGCATTTGGACCGTTATATTGGCTAAACAAAGTGGTACGTTGTGAATTTTACCGCGATTAAGTCCAGATTCAACCTTTCTCGATGTAATATTACCACCTTATAACATTATTGTAAATTCTCGATAATAGCGCTGAACCTCGGCCCGCCAGTAATGACCATCCAGATAGATCGGAGGATCGCCCTTTTTGTTTTATTAATGTTTTTAATTAAGAAACCTTTTCCATTTTATTATCCAACATCCTTACATCTTATCTCGTTGAAAACCAGCGCTGTGCTTTAGTTTGTCATGCTAAACAGTTTTTGTAAAGCAAACACTGAATGGGATGACCCTTAATTGACAACCCATGTACTTACACAAAAATGTATGCATTCATCATCTTTTTTGGTTGTCAATAAGAACTGTTTTTCTGTCTTTCTTTCTTACTGTCTTCTTAAAGGTAGAAATACAATTCAGTTCTAAGCGTCAATAGATTTTTATTTCAGCCATTGTGAGTGTTATCATCAGTAAAAAAATGACAAATGTCGACTTCTGTCCGACAACTAGTCTAAATCAAAGTTCGGAAAGCAATGTGAAACTGTTACCAACTAGTTCGTGGCCGCTTTCTAACTTAATAGGTTTCATTACTCAGCTGTAATAGACTACTTTATTAAGATTTAGTTGCAGTATTGTTAGACTTGTGCTAACTTCGCGATAGTACGGTGTTCTAAGAAGACATTTTCATAAATATTAAGATACTTAAATTATTATTTCATTTAATTTCAATAACTAACCAGTTAGTTTTAATCGTTAGTATTCAGCTGTGGTATCTACAAAATTGGTTTCTAATGTCCTGTGTTAAAATTGAAGCATTAAATTACCAAGCCTTTAACCAACCCTGTGCGTTGCCTTATTAAATATCAGCAGTACATTATTTGTAATTACTTGTAATATAACAACCATGAATTTATGTTTGTAAACTTTTACTCGTGAACAATTAATACATTATTATTAACGTCTGTTTGCTAACTAGCAGTTATGAAATGCGAATTCTAACAGCACAGGGAGGTAAAGGAGCACGTGGGACACCTTGCAACCCAAGAGTCATAAGTGTGACCGCCTTTTCAGCAAGGATCAGGGAAAAGACGGTTTGGGGCTCCGTTCACTCGAGTGAAAGAACTGCTTGACACCTGTTTTCTATAAGACCGTGGTATTTGGTCGAGCCTTGCCCATATTGGCCTTTTCCCAGTTTTGTTTAGGGTCTCCGCAATGTGTAACGAAGGCGAAAGTTCTGACTGTTTTCATTTGTGGCCGCCCGCAAGCCTGACTTCAGCCCTCCTAGCCAATGTAAATGTTTTCAGTTTTGATAAAGTACGGAAGTAAATTCGGGAAGGAAACGTTTAGGGTGGGGTGGCTATCGTAAAAGATACTGTAAGTGTCAGATGGAGAAAGGCACTGATAGTAAAATAGCTCAAAGAGTTATTTTGTATAGATGACAAATGGTAAGCGGTTACCGCTACCCATCGACAGAACTTAAAACTGACAAGAACGTTGCTGCTGAAGAGTCCCAAAAACTTAGCCGCCTTTAGAGCTCCTACTTGGAATCAAACAGAAGCTCATATTTAATAGAGTGGTGGAGCCTATAATTACAGGTAAGCACGCATAAATATGTTACATGATTATAAAAGATTGAGTTTAGGTACTATTTACGAGTAATTTGAACTTTATTTCTAAGAAGTACAGACGATTATTATTCCAACAGATACAAGAGACCAACCCACTCTGGGTTGGTCTCTTGTACACAAAAGAAATAGTTTATAGCATGTTTACTTTCTAACATAGTGACAAACTTTCCTAGCAGTAAGTTCGTGATTAATTTTATCGTACATTCAGAGAGCACTAAAGTTTCTTTGAAGTCTTTGAATGTCAATAACCTTTTCTATCGAGGGGCTATAAGAAGTAGAGAAAACACCTTCAGAAACACTTTGAATGCGATCCCTGCGAGTCAGTGAACTACTTTATTTACTTTAAAGCTTACGATTTTCTATGGTACATTATGAGGGATGGTACACAGTTAAATGTGCAAGTCATGTTTAAAGAATTTGGTTCTGGATATAAAATTGAGTTTTTTAACTGTATCTGTGTAAACTGTGAGTATCGATGTAAACCCCTAGTCAGTGACACCTTGAGGGTATTTACCGTCACTCATGGACACCTCACTCAAAAGACAAGTGCGTTGCCACCCTCTGAGTGCTCCATCCCCTCTCTCAGAGGTAGAGGGGAGGCGGAAAGTGTGTCATCCGGTAACGTCACCTCATAGAATCTCGAAACATAGCTTTTCTTTGAAGCCGTGGGATCACTCATATGTACAACAGCTGTCTAGTAATACAGGGACTTACAGAAAGGTAAACATTTAACTGTAAAGCTCATATTTAGTTATAGAAATGGCTGATATTATAAAGTGGATGTACTGTTTTTTTCTTAAAATGCCTGCATAAAATAAATAATAAGATAAATTAATTGAAATTGACATGAAAATTATAGTATTTACTAAAAAAAATCCCCTATAGAAAAAATGTATGAGAAGAAAATACACTTCCAATGAATAAATCCAAATTTTAAAATAAATTAGTTATATCCTGCCAATACCATCATCATCATCATCATCATCATCAACAGCCTTTAATAGTCCACTGCTGGACATAGGCATCTCCTTAGAACGGAGGTTTTGGCCTACTATAACACGCTGGCCAGACGGGTTGGTATAGGGTTTGTGTCAAGTATTCCTTCTCTCTGCGGTGCTGTTGTCCTGCGTAGTTTGCTCCCTTAGTCGCCTCTTACGACACCCACGGGATGAATAGGGGTAGTGACACCATACCGTGTCAGCTGGCTTCGCCAATACCAATCGATCCTAAATATTTGACGACATTAGTATATTCATTTGAAGGTAAGCACTGTCTTCTAAAATTGAATATTTTCTTAGTATGTATAATAGTTCAGAAAACTAAATCAAGTCATATAAAACTTCCAGTATTATCATCTCGTATACATATTACAGTATATAAACAAGGCATCGTAATGATATTGCGCCCTCATGTTTTTGAAGTGTGCCTCTAGCCTGGCTGTGTCGTTATCCACTTACAGATAAGTACTCAGGTACGTTGCTGTCACTAAAGTGCTACGCTCCCCATCGGCCCCAATAACAGAGGAACAAGAATAATGAAAGTATCGCCACGGGTATTCGATATCGGTATTTTGTACCGGTATTCGAAGTCGATATTCAAAAGCAGTATTCAATGCTCTTAGTTAATACCGGTATTTAGCACAGTGCTGACCTGTTAATAATATTAGTGGGTTTAAAAGTATCTGTTTTATACATGCTGACTGACTGCAAAGTTAAATCTCTGTTATTAGAAATTATCATCACCACCAGCCTATAACATTCCACTGCTGGATATAGGAACTGACCTCTCCTTAGAAAGGAGGATTTGGTGGCCAGACGAGTTGGTATTGGGTTTGTATCAAGTTTATCTTCTCTTTGCAGCACTGTTGCTTTGCGGAGTTTGGTTCCTTAGTTGGCTCTTACGACACCCACGGGATATATAGGGGTGATGACTCTCCGTATTCTTAATCCGTTACCACATTGCTACTACGGATACGTGACTAATAAAATACTAGGTAAAACCTATTCGTTTAGATCAGAGGAATTCAGCAATTTTAATTCTTTTCATTATGGAATGGAATGATAGAAGAGAATTTACATTTTCCTACTCTAACTGCGATGATGGAATTTTCATTTTCTAAGTGAAATTCTCCATTAAATTCCCTTGGAAAAATTAAAATACCCCTGAATTGAAAAATGCCTTCAAATATAATTTTAAATGGTTGAACAGGTATTTTTGACTTGTCATAGTTAACAAATTTTCGATTTCCGTCATGGGGTAATGAGTTGACAGTGTACACATCTATAAAAATAAATAAAATTGGAGTGTCTGTTTGTAATATTAAAATAACCGCTTTTTACTAAATGCATATGTATGTTTACACGGCACATATGCCAAAATAACATTTTTTACCATTTTTGTCTGTCTGTCTGTCTGTTTGTTCCGGGTAATCTCTGGAACGGCTGAACCGATTTCGACGGGACTTTCACTCGCAGATAGCTGATGACATAAGGAGTAACTTAGGCTACTTTTTTTAGACTATCTTCGCCCCGCGGCGTTGCCCGCGGTTATAACAACAAACGCCGGTAACACCGCGGCTCTCAGCTAGTATACAATAACACTGATACATTTTTACCACCTCTCTCTTTTTGGATTGATGGTTAAAATGAATCTAGTTTCTAAACGAACTAGTTAAAAAAAATTGTGTACTAGGTATTCAAAAGCTATGTGTATCATCCCATTTCCTCATACTTTAGTCGAACCGACGTTGAAATTGGAACTCTCATGTTCTCCATGTACTATGTAGTTTCAGGAACCAACAGCAAGGAATAAAATATTTCTTTCGTCTACTTCTTTTTTGATATTTCTACCAAAAGAAGTAATTCCCAAAAAAATGGCATTACCTGGATACCAAAATGATTACATGGGTCAGTTATAATACTATTAAAGTCTATTAAAGTCACTCACCTTAATTCCACATGGCCATTCCTCAGCATCAAAGCCAAGTAATCTCCAGACAGATCATCGTGCTCTCCAGTAAGCAGTAATACGCCTCTTGCACGCTCAGGTCGCACGCGTATCCTGACCCGCACGCGCTTGTACGCTCCTCGGAGCGCGCTCAGCGCCAACCAGGAAGATCCAGAGAAACGAGGTGTGATTACTTTCATTTCTATTAACAAAAAATTAAATACTTGACTACTTGATACTGTCCACGAAATAAAAAAACCTCTTAACCCTCTAAATCTAATCATGACAACGACTACAAATATATAATCGTCGTTTGGTGTATTTAAAAGTTTCCTGTAAGAAATTGTGGTAAGCGATAAGGCCGCCCTTTGTCCATGTTTAAATGATATCTTCCTTGTAAACAAATAATATATTTTAATTAATCTAAATCAATACTCCTTTTTATTGTAACGTGTGGCCGACCTCCTGTCTAATTGCCATTAACGATTACATACGATTATATTCCCAACGAAGGTCGCTACCATAGTTGGGAATGTAATCGTTTATAGTAGGGTGAGATAGATAGGATCAGGGGTACCCCAACTATCCAAAGAGGAATGGAGACTCTACTGCAGAAGGAATCAGTTATTAGAGAAATATTTATTTTTATTATAATTCTGTAGGAAGTGTTTCCCTAGTCAGAAGGTTCATATTCGATCTATCTATGTTACCATCTACTGTAAAGTATGTCCTTCTTTATCACAATCTTGTCCTTAGAAAAAAAATGGAAGTAAAGTTGTGCACATTTTCATTTTAAAATAAAAACTTGTATTTTATGAAAAAGTTGTGATATTTTTATTGGATTGTAAAGAAGTCATGTTCCTATTAAGTATGGAATAAAATATCCGGAAAATGGCCCCCTCGGCTCTGATGACAGGTTACTCTTTTCATGAAATTTTCCATGTCTTTTACACAGAGATGTGGCTGTATCTCACCGATGACGCGTTGGATCTCTGATTTGAGCTCAGGAATTGTTTCTGGTTATTAGCATATGCATTAGCATAGCACCGTGCACCGTATTGCACAGTGTTAAATCGCACGATCTTGGTGGCTAGTTGACATAAGAATTTCGTGAGATAATGTGTTCTGGAAATCGTTGCTGCAATAAGTCGATTGTTTCATGCGCGGTGTGACAGGTGGCGTGTCCTGCTTAAACCACATGTTATCCAGACCCATGCCGTTCAGTTGAGGCCACAAGAACGCCGTTATCATATTCCTGTAACGAATGCCGTTCATAGTCACTGCAATTCGGCCTCGTCTTCAAAAAAGTGAGGACCAATCACGCCGCCTGACCAAAATCCGCAAAAGACAGTTTCTTGTTGTGGGAGCATTTATTTCTCGGATGGTTTTTTTGAGCCCCAAATTCGACAATTTTGTGTATTCACGTAGCCATTCAGATGGAATTGCGCTGCATCGGAGAAAATCACTTTTTGTCGAAAATTTAGCATCAACTTCACTTTGCTCCATTACCCATTGAACGATTGCCGGCGCTTTCCATGGTCTGCTGGTGTGAGCTCCCGAGTTAGCTGAATCTTGTATTAATGAAGGAATGAGGTCTTATGTCCTCTTTAAGGTAGAGGTGGAGGAACAAAATTCGCTGCGTAGTGCTTCGTAACATTTGAAGTTGTTGAAAACGATGCCGAATTGATGTTTTCGGGATTTCGGCGACACTCTAGTTTACAGCAGAAATGTTTTCAAGAGACCGGACCGGTACGTCGACGCAAAGCATTCTTATTATCCATAATCGACCCAGTTTCTTCAATTTTTTTTGACCATTTTTCGAATGGTTGACACATTAGTTGCATTTTCTCGACTGAAAATTTGGCGATTTCAGCGTAACTTCCCCATTTTTGTAATGAGTTTTCACAATTATAATACGTTGTTCTTTCGAAAAGCGCTCCATTTTTAATAATCGGATTAAATATAGGTGACAGCTGTCAAATTTCAGAGTTACCACTTGCATGAAAAATAAATGATTCTTAATTTAAAAGTGCACTCTTACTGAGACTCCCTTTATTACATTAACCACTTATATTATATAAAAGTTTTACATTAACCACTTAAATTATATTATATAAAAGCTTCACAATTTATAAAACAATCTGTTGTTGTTAACAAAGTTTTCTAATTGGACTTAAGATTTTCCTCGACCCTCAATTTTGTAAATTGAGGGTCGAGGAAAATTTAAAGTGTGAAAATTTACTTTATTGTAAATTCTTTATAAGAATTTATAACTAGCCCTCAAACTTAATAACTGGATACCGTTTCTTTATAATTTTCCAAAGGATTTATATAAAATAGAATAATTCGTGGGACAATCTGTTTTTTTGTAGCTTATAGTATGGTGTTACACTTTTTTATTCTTTATCTTGCAAAAGGATACTTATATTCTTTTAACTTACTACCTACTTACCGACAGCCTCGCTCGCGTATATGTTATCTTAAGTTTCTACCCCTCGTGAACAGTATTTCTTTACTGAATAAAAGTAACATGATGTCTTCATACACATAGCACGGGGTAGTTTGTCAATTGTCAGCATTCGTCGCCAGACTAGTAGAATGTATAGCCGTCAATGAGTTCGTTCGTCAATAAGAGCGTTCAAGTAAAGACGTGCTTGTAACGTTATGTGCAACGTTATGTGAAACGTTATGTGCAACGTTATGTGCAACGTTATATACAACGTTATGTGCAACGCTATGTGCAACGTTATGTGCAACGTTATGTGCAACGTGCATGCAATGTCGTCCAACAAGACGTAGCGCGTCTTTACAATTGAGCCCTTACATAGTTTTGCTGAAATTTAGGCACATGTTTCATACAAATTTTAACGTAGGTTTTCTTAATGCAGAAAATCTATATTTTTCACAGGCACTATACAACAAATTATTGATAATAAAACTTTCTCTTCAAAGGTTTTTAAAATTAGAGAATCCATATTCATAATAATATTGTAAATGCGAAAGTGTGTCTGTCTGTCTGTCTGTTACCTCTTCACGCTTTAACCGCTGAACCGATTTAGATGAAATTTGATATAGAGATAGCTTGAGTCTCGGGAAAGGATACGGGATAGTTTTTTTCATAGAAATCATTCTTTAAGGACGTAAAAAGAGGGGTGGAAGCTTGTATGGGAATCATTAATTTTCACAGAACCGATTTAAATGAAATTTGGCATGAAGATAGTTTAATTCTTGTGAAAGGATATAGGCTACTTTTAACCGCAATAACCGACATACTTGCAGGTGGAGCCGCGGGTAAAAGTTAGTAATTTATAAAAACTTTAATTTATCGTTCAACAGTGTCAACAACAACTGGAATTGTAAAAAACTTGCGTGCTTATTCCATACATATTTGTAAAAGCTCTTATAATTAGTATGAGTAAATTGTTTTATTTTCTGTCAATACTCAATTTAATCTCTCGTACATAAAACGTTAGGTATAAAAAAGGCACGTTCCACAGACCTACATTTGTGATATTTCAGTTAAATACTAACGTATATTTTAAAATGTCAGAAGAGAGAGAACAATGGTATAAAAACTGTCGAATTAAAGAAAAAGATACCACGGCTCGCATTTCGACGAGTTTCACGAAGTCGTAAGCAGATCGTGGCAGAAGATTATTTACACAATTTTTATAGGAGTTCACCAGTACTTGTTGGAGTGTAAGTGTCGCTGGATGCCAATTCGTACGTCCCTCTTCGCCCCAGTATTAAAACAACAACATTCCTTATAAAAGTTTCATTGTTCCATTTTCGCCCGTTTTCGCCCTTGAGCAAAATTTATCGTGTTCAAATATGCTCTCTGTCGGCAGAGAATATGTTGAAATACCTACTACACTCACGTCGCCTTTGAATTTCAAGCCGGAGTTAAGGAAAGACGCTGTACGACGTTCGTATTGTATGTTTTTTGTTTGGTTTACTTTAAGCTGTATTTTCAGCGACTGTCTATTTGATCTAGACGTCGTAGTATAAACTTATTCCATTAGATGGTTTTTGGCATTTCCTTTGAAATTTTAACTGCTGTACATTAAAATAACATGTGTTATTGAGGCACGCAGCAGTACGCTTAGATGGTTGCCTTAAAGACTAACGAAAATAAATATTCTGTATTTTGTGTGTGATGAATAAATATTTTTCTATAGTTCTTTGTACATTATATTACTTGATTTCACTAATTTAAGTAAATGTTATAAAAAAATCATGTATGTATTTGTCTTAAGAGTTAAATTAATAATAATAAAATTAAAATGATAATGTAGGCAATTACTGATGATGTTACAACCTTCTGTACTACCTGTCGTAGTCATCAATCTTTTTTTATTTTATTTATTTATTGACATAACTACACAATTAGTTAAATGTAGGCAAACCTTAAACCACTGAGGTTTATGCGGCATGCCACAACATGCAAAATCAATTTAGTACATAACAATTAAAAAGTAAGTTAATTCGATAGTTTTTATACCATTGTTCTCTCTCTTCTGACATTAAAATATACGTTTGTATTTAACTGTAATAATATATCTATATTATTACAGTTAAATAGTAGTAGTAATAGTAGTAATAGTTAAATACAAACGAAAATCTTCGTATCATTAATTTCTGTGGTATGGATCCTACATTAATTTAATAAAAAAATCACTAAAAGTATACTCGTGTATCTTTACATAGTATAAAATAAAATCGATTTTCTTCCTTGTACGGTTACATCTTTTAAACCAAACTTAATATATATAAGCGGGTTTATCCAATAGAGAGAATGATTTAGGAGGAAGTTTCATATGTATAATACATGCATAGTAGTCAATTTTTTTATTTTATTTATTTAACTTAATGCACAAGTTGTACAGATGCGGACTTAATGCCCACGGCATTCTCTGCCAGTCGACCTTCGGGTGATGTAGAAAAATGATGCGGTAGGTGCAATAGAAAACAGAGAATTTGACTTTTTTAAATTAAATTTATTAATTTAAGATTATTATGGTAGCGAAAAGACGAGAATTTCAAAGATTAGTTCTTAATACATGTTTTCGTAGGCTTACATTTCAAACGCTGGCTAAACCTTATGAGATAAATCAAAATAATGTAAAACAGAACTACAAAATAGTCCGCGCTGGTATATGTCCATCCCCTAAGGATAACTCATAGTAACTAGAAATTAAAA